TAGCTAGGTGAGATTATTTCTACTACTATTACTACTCCCTTTGTGTTTCAACTTCGTGTTTTTTTGTGTCTTTCAAGTTTTCGGCAAACAGGTCACTTTTTTTCGGTATTATTATTACATTACTTTTATTCATCTGCTGCTTTTTCTAAAGCAGTTGGTCAATAGATAGGTGGACGGACATAAATACTTTTTGCATTTTAGATCTGACAACTATCAAGGTGGTATGGGGAATGTTCTCTGTCGCTCTGTGAACTTGTATGCGATTTGGCATGGTTTGAAAACTAATAACAGTGAACTATTAAACCTCATCTAGTAAAATATCTCCTGTGGCTAGTTAGGTTTTTTAATTTCGTCACATTCTATCGGTTCATTGACTGATTACCCAGCTATATTTTTCCTGTCTGAAGCCTAACCAACCTTACACCTCTGCACAAGTGTTAGATGGGTACATGAACATTCTCTGACCGTCATCTAACAGAGGAATAATGTGTAGTTAATGAAGATTACGAATTCATAATTCACCTATGAGCTCTTATCATTTGTGCAAAGATTCCTAATTATTACTGGATTTAAGTTTCAGTAATAATTAAACTAGGGTTTTACTGTTGTGTTGTTTTATGTCTTGTATTCATTTTTAGACTGGAACTGTCTCTGGAACGGAGTATGTATCTTCTAGTCATATATCTGTTCTTCAACCACAAAAACCGATTCTCTGCACAATGTCAAACTATTCTTCATCAACCCTTGGGCGTACCAATACAGTGATGCATTTTGTCACAAATACGGCGAATACTCTGAATTCAATTAGTGCATTGACAAGCGATAGTAATACTACAAGCTTAGTTTCCAGTTCACACTCTGCATTTTCACCTTCTGTCTCCTCTGATGGATCTAGTACTGGTCCTGTAAGATCCCTTTCTCAACGGTCTAGTCCTGGTGGGTTATCATCGTCATCATCATCATCATCGTCTACTAATACTTCTTCTAATCCTACATCTCGGCAATCCTTTCGGATAGATGATGATTATCCAACAGTTCCTTCAAGAGAAATAAATTCTACTGGATCTTTGGAAAATATGCCATCTGTAGAGGGTGTTGCACGGTCAAGCATTAAACCAACAATTCGTATACAGTCGCGTTCAGCATCTAGTCCTTCACGTTCATCCTCTCCACCGTCTATTTTATCAGCTGTACCATCTTTGTTACCAACTAATCGTAAATCAGCAGATTCTCCTATATATTCATTATCACAACAGTCATTAAACTCAGGAAGTTGTGAATTATCTGACAACTTGAGTGGAAGACCAAAACGTCGTAAATTTAGATGAGCTTTTATTCAATAGTTTTTTGTTTTGTTTCCTCGAAGTTATCCAGTTTATCATTATTATTATTATTTTATTTGTTTCTTGTATTATTATTATTATTATTACTAATATTTTTGTTTTCTGTGATGTGTTTATTTTGGCTTCATTTACTTCTCCAGTTTATTGAATATTTAGTTCCTAAACAAAGATTCCCATTTTATTCACCTTTTATCTATCAGTAACGTTTTTAAATAATAATATCGATGCGTTTTTATCCGTATTGTATTCACACACATAAATATAATATTATTGATTTTATCCACTCTCTATATTATAAAGCGAAGTAGGTTTTTAGTAGAATTAGTTGGTTGGCGCAGACAACTAAACTCCTCCTCATTCATCTCTATTTGCACTTTTACTTTGTTGTTTCTCACGTTCGTTCTCTGGTGCTTTTAACCTTCACTTGATGTTTTTAAAGTCAACCACTCAGTCTTTAATAAGAGACTGTGGTTTTTAATGTGTAGTTGAATTCATTATGCCTATTTATACCTATGTATTTCTCTCTAATATATATACATATAATATGCTTGTTTATCAATCTTATTTTTTTGTTATTTTACGTTGTGTTTGAAATTCTGATATGTAGATTTCCTTTGAATAGTTGCTTTTTTGTATTTGATGAATCAGCTGCGATAAAATTCTTAAGTTCTATTCTGCAGTCAGTTCAACACGCATGCAACATTGTGTTACAAACAGGCTGAAGTCTTTCCTAAAGGAAGATTACTATTAGAATTATTTTTTTTTATCCACTTTCCCTCGGTTTCTATGGACTGACTGACTGGTTTCAGCGTAGAACTTTGCACAGATGTGCAGCAGCACTTTGATTCGCTACACTCCCTCCAGGTACCACACAAAGCAAGAGCAGAGAGTAAAGAGAGAGGATAAACAGTGCGGCAAAAATAATAGTAATATGGAAGACCAATGGAATTTTATTTGATATTATAGATCGCAATGAGTGAATGTATCTGCACCAACAACTACCGAGAGCAACTTTTAGCAATATCATCAGTCGTCTCCATGGATCTCATTGACTGATTAAGCCATGTTTTGTTTTGACTACCACTAGCTAACTCTTTCCAACCTGGTCGATCCTATGTCAGTCAGCTAACATTTCCCGTTGTTGATGAAGGCGATGGTTAGGCAGTCAGGCATGCACACATGTCCTAACCATTCATCTCAATCGATGCAACTTCGAAACCTCGTCGACTGATTTTCCTTCCTCCTTCCTTATCTAGCACTTGACTGATGCCTCACTCCAGTATTCCTCATATTGTAAAACCTAACATGGGAGATAGAACTCAGGCATTCATGGTCAAAGACAGCTACCAAGGCTTTTCGTATCGCATGCCAAGCATTCGAAGATTACTGCTCCTCAAGGTGTTTAGAAGACTACATATTGTCACCGTCTTCACCCAGAAGGACTATATTGTCTGCATATTCGAAGTCAACAAAATTATTCCCTGATGGTAATAAGTCAATCCCTGAATCGTTGCAGTCAGTTAGGGGTTGAGTCCATTAGTACATTTATGATAAAATTAAACAGAAATTAGAACGGACACCACTGGTTTTCACCGCAGTTGTTAGATGACAACTCTCCGTAGGCTTTGATCTGGCTGGATGACTGCATGAGTTCGAGCAGTTAGTGTCTTGATCAGTGTTTATGGAAGCTGGTCCTGGCAAGTGTACTAGATTTGTTTGCCTAACCACGTATGACGGTGACTAACTTCAGCCACTTAGGGACTGAGTTTTTGGAAGCGAATAGTCTTGTTGTTGGCTTTGATTATGCGGATGATACTAGTCGTTCTTGATCAAGGTGCTGATCAGCATGCAGAGTCTTAGCCTTGAACAGAAATCTTCGAATGTTTGAGATGTAATTTGGCCCTTATGTTATAGGACCGTGGAGTGAAGTAGTGGTATAGAGTGTTGACCACTTCGTGTATTCGCGAAGTTGCATCAATCCCAATGTGCTGATTTCTGACGAAATCTATCACCACAAATGCAAAAGCCTCGTGTGGAATTTGTGAACTTACTCCATCTCTGGCCTATATGTGGTGTCCGAGTGACTGTCGATCAAAGGACGTGTGTACTGCAATTGATGTCGCTCTGTCCTCCTTTATGGTTGGTTGTGAGAAATGACCATTGGAATTAGAAGACATGAAAAGCCGTGCTAGCTAGCTGTCTTTGATCATAAGTGTCTGTGCTCCATCTTTTGTGTTAAGTGGTATGATACAGTGAGTAATAATGAGGTTGGACGTGAAGTGTTAGGTAAGATGTGGGGGGGAGGAGAGGGAAAGTGAAGCGATGAGACTATGTGAAGGCCAATCGATTCAGATGCTTAGCAGATGTGTTACGCATGCCTAGCTGCCATAGAATTAATCAAGTTGGGAAAGGGCTAGTGTTGGTTGGGCCGAAACTTCGTTGGAATTAGTCGATGAAATCTATGACAGTTAGTTTGAGCCAGCCATGCAGAGAGGTGTAGACTACTCGTCTGGTTGGAGTTGTCGGGATTCTAAGAAACAATGGCTGGAGATAATTGGCGATATGACTTGAAGTCATTGTCATTGGCGGATGGTGTGGGATATGTTCACTCGTTTTGATCTCCCATATCTAATAAAACCCTATTGTGCTTTCCATGTTACTTGAGATTTCTGCTCATTATGGCACTTTCGAATCACTTTTTGGGGTTTGTCTCTTTTGTTTTCCTTCATGTGTGTGTGTGTGGTTGCATGAAATCTGGCAAATTGTACCCTATTGCACTTCTGTGCAGAGTTCAGTCGGTCCATCTTATTTACCCAAAGAGAAGAGATGCTTATGGAATACTGCAAAATCCTGGTAACAATTCCTAAGGTATATTCTTGTGTATCAGGCGCTTATTATAATCACAATGCTGTCTATATGATGTCTAGAATGCTAGGAAGACACAGTCGTGAGGAAACCATTGGATTTTGGTTATCCAATAATTTATGCCTGTAACTTTGAGAAAGCTTATTGCAATAGTCTTCCAGTGCTCCGTGTAAAGTAATAAAACGGCGATAACACTGTGTAGTTGTAACACAAAACTATCGGCTTATATATATATATATATATATATATATATATATATATGGGGATAGTGTGTTATATCTAAATGCTAACAGCCTTGTCGCAAACATTGTCTTTTGATACTTCTGATTCATATAAGGATAACGCTTGTGCACTGTGGTAGAGTATAATTCAATTGTGGAAAGAATTTATTTTGATAAAGTCTCATTGTGTTTGCTATACAGTCATATTTACTGATGATGAACACACGCTTCGAGCACAATTTATTGCTGCTCATCGTCATCACATCAAAGTACTCACACAACTTTCCAACTTCGTTTATAAGATTCCAGTATTTCTCACCTCTTGATATGATTAGTAGTAATATTTTCCATATTTCTGGTATGAGTGATGATGAATCATTCCTATTGCTTCTTTACACATATAAACTCACTAGTAAAGGGGATAAAATTCACATTTGAATCGGAAAATGAACAAGGAGAACTAGCTGTGATGTTAGATTGTAAAATTAAACGAACAGAAGAAGGTAAACTGCACATTTGCGTTTATAAAAAGCCAACGCATTCTGCTAATAGATATTTAGACTTTAATTCATCTCATCCGTTCGTTATCTGTTTGTGAAGGCAGGCTTAGTTAAGTGTCTAACAAGCCGAGCAACAACATTACTAAGTGGTATATCAAAAAACTTAAATAATGGAATGAAACAGATAGGAGAATGGCTGGTTGGTGTTAAATAACTAACCATCCTATAGAATTCATTAAGAAGATCAGAAAAGGTCAATGATTACATAAATAAGAAAGAATATGACGCATGTTCAGCAGTTTTGCCATTATAAGGAGGGAGGTGTCGTATGAAACCCTCCCTACGTGGGATTCTCAATAAAGCGTGAATTAGGTTGGTGGTGGCATTTACACCTACAAACTCGCTCACTCAGGTAGGACAAGCTCTGTAGGTAGGTTGAAGGAGCCTGTCGGGTTGACCCAATTCGATGAAATAATATAATTTACAAAATACCTTGCAATGACTGTGAGTTAGGTCAACTACCTACATAGATCAGACTAACAGATGAGGAGCAGTGAGATTATGAGAACATAAGAATTTACTCCCGAGAAGATAAGTAATGTAGAAAGAAGAAAGCTCATCACTACATTGCACTGCATGTATTAACACACAAGCACACAGTAGCATGGTGGGAGGGAGAGAGTTAAAATTCTGAATGAGGTAGGTGGAGACAGATAGAAAGAGGTTGATTACTTACTGAATCTTTGTCCATCGAATAATCTACGCCCAACACAACACGTGCAACAGAAGCGACTCATCACTCATACCAGAAATATTGAAAATATTACTACCAATCAAATGAAGTGAAGAAATAATGGAATCATATAAACGAAGTTGGAAAGTTGTGTGAGTACTTTGATGTGATGACGATGAGCAGCAATGATAAATTGTGGTCGAAGCGTGTAGTCATCATCAGTAAATATTACTGTATATATCAAACACAATGAGACTTTATCAAAAATAAATTTTATCCATAGTGGAATTAACACTTCTGATCTATGTTTTTCTTCTGAATTGGTATAAAAATACCGTCGACTGTATTGTTCAGAAGTTCAGTCTGTATGTGATGCATTTTAGGATGTGGACACACTTGTTCTTGACGCGTTAGTGTAACAATAATAATTTAAACGATAAAGATTGTTTACTTTTTTACAACTTGTATGCTATTCAGATTTAGCATTATTCTAACACACTGTCATCCAGGTAGATGTCAACTCGTGGTGAAATTTGAAACAAGTCAAATCTCTGCTAATTAACACTCTGGCAAATTAGTCTGGTACTGGCTAGTTAACTAGCTGGCTGGCTGGCTACAGGATGAATTTTTGCCTGGAGCCAGTTTTTTAGTGAGAAGTCATGACCAGTGAAGTAGTCGAACACTAGATGCCGGTGGTGGGGCATAAAGACAAATACTCGCCGATGATATTTGCTGCTGGTGGTGGTTGGTTTCTCTAAAAATCACGAAATGGTAGAAGTTGG